CCAGCCTTCTGGTTAGCAGTCAAGTGCCTTAACCACTATGCTGCCAGAGCTCATATATATATATATATATATGTATGTATGTATGTATAAAGGCAACAGGGAATGTTTTGAGGAGAGATGAGGTGTCCAGATATTTGATAACCTGTCATGCAGAGGAGCAAATAAGACTGTTCCCTGCTGTTCTAGAGGCCAAAAAAAAGTACAGCAGGTGTCAAATAGAGACAGAAAGCTTTGAGCTGAATAAGAAAGAGGTTGCTAATGATTAGAGATATTCTATGCTTAGAGATGTCCTGTGAGCCCGAAGAGGAGCTCTGGTAGCGTAGCACCTAGGGCATTTGACTGTTAACCAGAAGGCTAGCAGTTCAAACCCACCAGCCACTCCTCTAAAGGAAGCTTGGGCAATCTACTTCCTTAGTGGTATCACCTCGGAAAACCAAGGAGGGGTCGCTATGAGTTGGATCTGAGTCAACAGCAGTGCATTTGGTTTGGTTTTGGTATGCTCCCCAAGTGGTGAGCCTACACATTCCTTGATGTGTCCAAGCAGAGGCCTGAGATTAATAATCCATTTGTGAATAGTCCCAAATGCCAGTTTTGATGAGAGAGCCACCACAGCACCTCAAATTCTCACAACAATCTTGCAAGGCAGAAAAATTCTTTGTCCTGTTTTATAAACAAGGAACAAGAAGTCTAGAGGGAATAAGCGACTTGCTTAAGATCACATTACTTATTAGTGGTGAAGCTTGGATTTGAACTCACAGTTGTCTAATTCCAAAGCAGAGATGTTGGTATGTGAATTCCTACTTTAGAAGGAGGCTGAATCAGACAGCAATTAGACATTAGTATGCTTTGGCCTCAGTTTCTTCTCAGTTGAGTCCATGATCACTAGTCTTTACCAAATATAGTATCCACGATTCTAAGCAGGACTTTTTTTTTTTTTTTTTTAGGAGAAGAGCCCAAATATTTTTCCTTAGTGAGGTCAGATTAAAAGAAAATAGATGTACCAGTAAGGATTGGCAAGGTTAGAATGCAGTAAAGAACAATTCCAAAATCTCAATGACTTAACCCAACAACTTCAATAGTGACTGGCAAGGGAGCCCTTCCCTCTATCGTCAGGGACTCCAGCTGATGGAGACTTCATCCTATGATGTGTTTGCAGGATTATAGCATCACTGGGCAGAAAGCATAACAAATTATGCTCTGACTCTTGAAATGTCTGTCTATAAGTGAGACATATCCCTTCTATTCATGTTTCTTTGACCAACAAAATCACATGGTCACATCTAACTTCAAAAGTCATGAGGAAGAACACTCATTTTGCAAGACCAGAAGGGAGAAGATACAGATATTTGGCCATGCCAAAGACTTCCACACTAGGATTTTGATAACAGTAAATATTCAGAGTGATGCTTAAGTTATATCTACAATAATTACGATCTTTTTCCCTTCCTCCTACCTCTGCTATCCACTAATAATCTTTGGGCTCTGGTGGCATAGTGCCTAAGGCATTTGACTACTAACAAGAAGGTTGACGATTCAAACCCACTGGCCATTCCATGGAAGGAAGACTGGGTAATCTACTTCTGTGAGGATTTGCCATCTTAGAAACCAATGGGGGTCACTGTGAGTCGGAATCAACTCGATAGCAGTGAGTTTGGTTTGAGTTTTGAAGAAAATCTTAAAGAGATAGTGTACAACTCATTCCTTGAAAATTTGGGGGATAATAAATTAGATCTCACCATAGCAAATTGCCAGAAGATGAATCAGTTCTGTGGTTTTCATGTTGGTCTATAGAATGCCCTAGTTATCTCCATAAGGAGTTAGCATAGTGTTCTAGGTCCCCCTCCCATTTCTCTCCTCAAGTAGATTAATAAAATGCTGTTCTCATCCATTTGACTGGTGGTGGTGGGCTGTGTGTTTGATGGATTTGGCCTTTCAGCACTCATTCCTCCTTTCCAACAGCTTCCAATTTCTATTGGGAGAATTACCACCTCTATATTGCATGGTTTTCAAGATGTCCTCCCCATCAGACACAGAGGCTATTGGGTCCTTCTAGCAGATGCTTTCTTCAACCAGGAACAGCCAAGCGTGTGAACCAAGCTTAATCAATCAGGCTTGCTCTTCCTAGATTTTGACTCTTAGGCCAGTGAATATAAGGGCAAAAGAAATGGTGTGAGTTCACTCATTGTCATTTTGATTCTTGCTAATTTGTGTATTTGAGTATCAAGATTCCATCCTTTCTTTAATCAGTAAGGGCCCTAACATTTTTCCAGTAAATTCCCTACACTTTGTTAGCTTATTAGTTTCTGTTGCCTGTAACCAAAACACCCTAAGTGATATAATATCTTATTAAGATTTGTTTACTTTTTATTTGGTTTTGTTTTCTATGAAGAGTTCCATTGCTAAAATATCAAAGTATGGACCAGGTGATTTTAGAGGTTTCTCCTTGTTCTATTCTTTTAAGCTCAATAAACAACAGAAGAAAATGCTTATTGCAGGTCTGGCAACTTACTCAATGCAACGTTACCATTGACAGGAACCGTGAAGAAACCTGGGTGACTAATACACTCATGCAAAAGATGTCTTAATATCCTTCCTACAAATTTTCCTGGGACTTGCTTGGGAAATTGAATTCTCTTAATATCCTAACATTCAAAGCTGCAGGTCTCATATCTATGCACAAGGCTGATGCCCAGTCTGAAGCTGTGTGGGCTGAGTTTCCCTTGTGAGCCTCACTGCATACCTATCTCAGAGAGGAAAACATTGTCCCATACACTTGCTAACTGACTAAGGTGCTTTTTAGATTTGTGCCATTTCTGTATATTAGTGACACCATTTTGGTTAAATTTTTATATTCCTGGCAAGCTACCTCCTCACCTCCTCAATCTGCCTGACCAGTACTTCTGAATTTTGTTGTTGTTCATTATTGGGTGCCATTGAACAATTTCCAACTCATAGCAGTCCCATGTGACAGAGTACAATTGCCTCATTTGGTTTTTTTTGGCTATAATCTTCATGCAAGTTCATCACCAGGCCTTTCTCCAAGGAGCCACTGGGTGGGTTTGAACCACCAACCTTTCAGTCAGCATCTGAGCTGCTTAACTTTTGTGCTACCAGGGTGCCTTATTTATAAATTTAAATATGTCTAATGATATAGCATTATTGCCAGCTGGTCAATGGAAGTAATTAAATTCATATATTTAAGCATCAGGCAAATGCTTGATTTGGGGAGGGGTGATTTTAAAAAAGAAACCATTTTTTTTGGAAAAGAATCATAAACATTATAAGCAGTAAACAAAGACAGCAGTGACCAGTCCAGAGAAATGAAACAAGAATGACCTTAGTGTGCACCTTGCATTCTTCTTAGTAGGATTCATAATCTGAGCCTCATCAAGGCTGCCTGTGTCTTGGAACTCTGCTTATGTTTTCTGGGGCTCTTGTTATGTAGGTTGCAGAGAGTTAATACGTTATTTCCTCCATGACCAACCCAATGTCCCATTATTTTGTTTATAGGCATTTGCTGCCTCCCTGTAAATGTGTCTAAGTTTTCCTGGTCATTTTCATCATCTCCATGGTCTCTGCCACACTTCCATTACAAATGATTCTTTTACAACTGTCTGAACTTTCTGTATCTTGCACTACCTAGAGGAGTCTCCATTTTATTCTTGCTTCCTGTTGAATCTCCTCCCTGAATGCCCACCATTTTGATGATTTTCCCATTCTCCTCCGTCTGCCTCCCTCTCTTGATTATTGGTAATGCTCCCTTTGAGCTGCCACCACTCGTTCTGCTCTCAGAGAACTGCTTCTTACTCTGCAAAATGGGCACTTCTTCCAACTTGCCCAGAAAGCAGCATGGTTTCTGCCAGAAAGGACTGGCCTGTTGGCAGAGGACCATTAGGAAGAACATTAACACAGCACTGAAAACTAAATTATATCTATAGATTTTGGTTTGTTGCCTTGTTTTCTTACATTTAAGCCTCACTCGACTGTGGCAAAGGCAGTATATTGCAAGTGCTTATAGCAGCACCTAGAAATGCTACTTCTCTGTACTTACTGCTCACCTCTTGCAGGCTCTACACAAAGATTAGTCTTAGATTTAGGTAAATAGTGGATAAAGAGAGAGTTTCTCAGAAGAAAGGATTTTCAGAGACTATAGAACAAAGGGAGCTCTGGTGGCATAGTGGCTAAGGCACTTGACTGCTAACCAGAAGGCTGGCGGTTCAAACCCACCAGCCACTCCTCGGAAGGAAGATGGGGCAATCTACTTCCGTAGTGATACCGCCTGGGAAACCCAAGGAGGGGTCGCTATAAGTCACATCCGACTCGACAGCACATAACAATTGAACAAAGTTCCAGTAGAAGAGGGTTAAGGAAGACAGAAAGCAACTCATTTTCTATAAAAACTAAAGGAAAACCACATACAGACTCTGGAAAGGTTCAAAGAGAGTTAAAAGCCAGGCTCTCTCTCTTTAAGCATAATTTTCTTTTGCTCAGATTCCCCATCAATCACCTGGATGACCTCGCTGCTCTCTCATCCATATGGAGGTCTCTGGCAATGTACAAGGAGCTATAAACAGAAAAAAAAAAAAAAACACAAGAACACTTGTAAATAGGTTCCTAAGCTATGACCAAATTTCATAATTATGTGACAAGACCGAAGAGGCATTGCAGTCCTTTTGGCCCAGATCTTACTGGGCTCATTCGTTTTGCTAAAATAGGCACACAGAAACCGGCATCAAAATCAACAGCCTCGTTCATAGGAAAGACCTTTGCATACCTTCCCCCATACTCCTCTGTCCTTTGGTCTGTCCTGATATGTCACGGTCAGGTACAGGGATTACAATAATATACAGCTGGTACAAATAGTCATGTGCTGGACTACTAGCTGAAAGATCGGCAGTTCAAACTCACTGAAGGGCACGTCAAAAGAAAGGCCTGGCAATCAGCTTATGAAAGGTCACAGCCTTGAAAATCCCATGGATCAGTTTTACTCTGCACACATGGGGTCGCCATAAATTGACTTGACGCCAACTAACAACAACAATAATGCAGTCCACATGAATACTTTGTTATACATGCATGAGTCACACGCAGTGATTCTGGTTAAGATTCAGTCTTCTCCTTTCTCCTTCCTTGTCCGCATCACCCAGCACCCACACAGTGCCACTCCCCTAGCTGCTTGGAATGAGGGCCAGCCTCTGGAGCAGCCCTGCCTCTCATGGGAGAGGCTGATTTGCTGTGTTCTTCACCCTGAACAAGGAGACCTTCTCTTTAAAAAGGGAAGATGTTTTATTTCCCCTGAATCAGAATAATGAAATATTTCTTGTAAACCTGGAAATTAAAATGCAGACAATACAAGTCCTTCCGTTTCCTTTTATTGGTCTTCAGAGGTGAACCCAGGAACAGCTGTAAATATGTGTCAGGGTGGCTCTGGGCTAAAGGTATTGAAACTCCACTCACAGTGATGCCAAAAGTCACTGTCTGAGCTATGTCCAAGAGCCCCTCCCATTTCTCCCCATCCTCCCATCTCACTTCCACCGCCTTATCCTGGTTACAGTGACTTTGAAGCTGGTGAGAAGCATTTTGAGGTGACACTCAGCAGCTGTGTGGTCTGGAATGCATTATCGTGCTATGTCTCAATGACAATGTTCTTTGGTTGCTACAGAGGGCTCGTTAGTTCCAGCCTTAGGATGCACTGCCATCTCCTGGAAAACCCTCTGTCCATGGTGCCTGCCATCATTTTTTTTTTTTTTTTTTAGAATGACACCAGTCCAAAAACAGGACTTGGTCATGGTCTTCTGTCTTTAGAGGCAAACATCTGGATGCTCAGAGCCCTCCTCTTCTGCCCCTTCAAATTGGAAAACAGCAATTCCTGAAGGAGATGAGAAGGTGTTGTATTGTCATCTTAATTAAAAACAAGAAAGTAGGCTGGGAGGTCACTGGTGCCGAGAGCTGGGATCATTAGTCCCGCCTTCTGCTCCCGAGGCTGGCAGCAGATGCTGCTTACTGTAAATGAGTGGCTGGAACCAGTAGAATCCTGCCCTGGGGAGCTCTGGCAGAAGTAACAACCTTATTTACACCATTAAGGACTGGACCGAGGACTCAGACCAGAAGTCACATGCACAGGCAGAGCTTCAGACTGGCGACAGCCTTGAGTTCTTTGGTCCTTTTGTGATGTGGCAATTCTTTATTGAAGATTCCTACCTTACAGGCTAATGACAATACCTTGGTTGTTGGCCTAATGAGTTAGATATTTTCAGAAAGCACCAAAGACATAAGAGCACCTATGATTTCCATTTAAAATCAGAAGCAAATGAAGGCCAGCACACATAATTGTGTCTTAGAGACACGTGGATGTTTGAAAACATAAGCTTTCTTGATGAGAGCAGGTTAGTCATCAGGTTTGAGCTAGAGCCCAACATACATTTGGAAAGATATTAGGCTGGTCATCATGAAAAAGAATGGGGTAATGAATTTCTCTAGAACAGTTTTCTTTTGAGATAACAAAACATAATTCTCTGCATAAAGATAATTAAGATCATCTTCTCATTAACTGAATGATTTGATTTTAGTTAATTAACTGAATTGTTTAGTTCATTTAGTGTCCCCTTGAATCAGGTCTTATCATTATACCTGGACCATTAGAGACTCTTTGAAAATCTGAAAATTTATTTACTATTTCCCCTGAAAAATGCATACACATTTTGTGTATGATTGAACAAAGAATGCAGAACCCCATCAAACACCATCACCAAAGTCAAGCTAATCTTAACAGTACTTAATTTAAAATGTCTTTTGCAGCTACAATTTTTTGCAAAGCCTACTGATCATTTTGAAGGGTGGGTAACAAGAGTCACAGGAGTATTTGCAAATCAGCACATCATGGGATTGGTGCCTGTGAGGAATGACTTGGATATTTCTGATTCTTTCCCATTCCCTGGCCCCATATTGAAAGTTGGTTTAAATGTTCATCCTTCAAAAAGCCTGGACTTTCAGAGGCACACATCTGAACAGCTCTGATAACACCTGCTTCAGCCTGGCTCCCAGAAAACAAATCTGAATCAAGGGTTCTGCTGTGGCACCTGTTTGGACGATCCTTTGTCTCAGTCCTGGAGGGAAGCCCAGATGAAAATGGTTTGGAAACACACAGCCTTCCACATGACAGGATGACCAGACACCAGTGGTCCAATAGTGTTACCGTGGCAGCTCTGCAACTCACCCGGGGGCCCCCAGTGTATGAAAAAAGGGCAAATTTCATGGCACAAAGTATGCGATGAATTCTAAGGACTAGATTAAAACAGTAGTGAAACACTGCCATACAAGATTTATTCTAGGGTTGAAGACTCCTTTCCTTAGACTCAGGTTTAAAACCAAAGCTATGTGTTTTTGGCTCACTGTTTTCATCTCTATCATCAGTTCCTGGAAGGGAGTCTTTTGTCTTCCCTTCTGAATCTGTTGGCAGAAACTGTGTGGTCACATGGTGTCATTTTAATCTAAGCTTCCAGAGAAGTATTCTCCTGCCAGCTTCTCTTCTTCTGCCTGGGCCCTTTCAGCAGGTCTCACTTTTTTCTCTGTCTGAAATTGACAAAAATGACAAGTTCTCATATGTGCATGGTACTTTTCTGTTTTTTTGAAGTTTAAATATGAGTATTTGGGAATGAGTCATTCATCTCCACTCTGCCTTCCTCCCTCACCCAGCCTCTCATGACAATGCCTTTCCTGACTGTTAAATTCCTCTTCAGTAATGTTATTGTGAGACACCTTAATAACTCCAGAATAACCAAGAGCTAGAAAAGGGAACTTAGAAATATTTGGCTATTGCGAATCACATGTCAGTATAGAGGGAGAAAGGCTCAATATATTCAAGAGTGTCTTGTCTTTTAATATTGTTGTTGTCACTAATTCGTGGTGACCACAGGTACAAAAGCTCCGTAGGGTTTTCTTGGCTATAATCTTTACAGAAGCTGATCCCAGGTCTTTCTCCCACTGAGCCACTGGGTAGATTTGAACTGCCAAACTCTCAGTTAGCAGCTGAGCTACCAGGGCTCCTTCCTTACAATGTTACTCTACGATAAAAGTTCCCTTTCAGTATTTCAGTGTCTCCTAGGAGAGCTAGTGCTGGAGTGATTAAAAAACAAAATAAAAAGAAACATTGCTGTCAAGTCAATTCCAACACATTGTAACCCTATAGGACAGAGAACTGACCCATAGGGTTTTCAAGGATGTAAATCTTTACCAAAACAGAATGGCATGTCTTTCTCCCATGGAGTGAATGATGGATTCCAACCACTGACCTTTAGATTAGCAGTTGAGCACTTAACCACTGCACCCCCAGGGCTCCTGTATAATAATGATGATAATGATAATTATAATAATATTAGCTAGTCTTAAACTCTTAACATTTATTGAGCACTTACTCTGTAGCTGGGGAAAGTGGTCTAGGCTGGACAAGTGACTTAGGCATAGATAATGGACATCAGTCAAAGTTCTTTACAGATATTAACTTATTTAATCCTACCAGCAATTGTATGAGGTAGATCCTCTTTGCCATTCCTATTTTATCAATGAAACAAACAGATTCAATAACCTGCCCCAGGTGCACAACCATGAAATAATTGAGCTGAGAACCTAGGAGCATGGCTCCAGGAATTTTGCCCTGAAAATTACCCTACAGGTGATAAAATATATATATATATATATATATATATATATATATATATATATATAGGGGAACAGTTAATGGTGATGATTGAACAGCATAATGAATATAATTAATGTGTAAAGTGTGCAAGTGGGGATTGTAGAAATGGCAAATATTCTATTACGATATACATACCAGGGTAAAATAAAATACCCTAGAGTGTCTCTCACATACAT